CAAGAAAACAAACGAAGTCAGGATAACAATCTATATGCCAAGAATCCTAAACAAATCAATAAAATGTAAAGCAGATTTGAAACCATTGCAAAATCTCTGAACTTCTGAACAATAAAAGAAAACATTCCACTTAAACGACGGGAAAATATCAAAATTCAATAAATTCGCTTGGTGCTGTGATAATACTAACAATAATAATAACCCGTTAACAATGATAATAATAACAATAATAGTAAACCGTTATGTTTCCATTTGTAGGAAGTAACAAAACATAATAGCATTATACATTGATCCAAATTTCGACTACAGAAACATCGGAACGATGGATTATTGACGATGACTTTTGAATCTCGCAGCGTGACACTTGAACCTACTGGTTAATGAAATGATGCACAATTATTTTGCCCCTGTGACCTAATTTGAGCTGTGGGGTGAATCTTCTCCGTATTGACTGTTCAAGCTTTTTATTCATCTTATACAAATCTTAAGAGTTTCAGTGAGGACTCAGTGCTCAGTGTTGTTATTGTTAATGATATCTGGAGCCGCAGCTCATCTATCCCAAATTAATGATGTCCGACATGCAGGAAGGAAGTCCTCGGATTACTGCAAGAATCACTTTGACAAAGGACATACTCCTTGTCGAGAGAAGATCATCTTCTAAAAGTTATTGCCAGCTTTTAAATGACCCCCTTTATTTCAATGCCCAGCGATCGACTCCCATGATAGGAGTGTTTTACTGACGGCTTCTGACGTTCGAGTCACTTAATCGAACCAGGACTGGGTTGCTCTCTATGTGGGCTGTTATTGGGTATGTTGTGGTCTTTCGTCACCTGGTGATACAGCCGGAATTTAAAGGTGTTGCGCAAGGAGGTTGAAGGAAGCAGTTCAGCTGGTGTTCTCGGCGTTTCAGGACTGCAGATGCTTTCATAGAAGTGAACAGCGCCGTAGGAAAGAATGAAAGAGAGCTACTTTATGAAGGTTACCCTCTGTTTATCGATATTGAACGGCTTTTAAATAAACCACGCAGTTTCGTAAAATTTGTCGGTGCCAGCTACTGTTTGAGTCACAACTTCAATCGTTTACGATAACCCAAAGACTTAAACCTATCAACTCATTCTACAGTCGTACCATTATATCTGATCTTCAAAGAGACGTTAACGTTTGTTTCTGTAGAGTTGACACGTAGCCCAACCTCTTACAATATTACGTCTCGCAAAATTCAATCCTTTTGTCTGCTTCTTAGAGGATATTCATCTTTAGATGTTCATCAAGTAACTCAATCGATTATTGACCATGATCATTATCCATTCCAGCAACGAACCTGCTGTCAATTTCTGACTGGGATACCTCCGACATAATCTGAACATATATCTTGGTCACATCTAAGCGGTCGTGACCTGTCATTGGTCATCGTCGTTCTTATAAATACTGCTAGCCGGAGGGGGAACTTCGCAACCACTAAGAAATGATCAGATCGGATCGAATCATGTGTGTTTCCCGCACTGGATAGCGTTCCTGGAGACAACTTCGTCAGTTTGCTCAGATGATGATATTGGCTCAGTTTCTGAAGTTCCCTCCTGGTGCCATCCAGCTATTTTGGGCTGTGTACCAATAAATCGTTCTTTTGTTGTATAGCAAATTAACTTTCAATGCACGAAAAAAAATATTTCAAAAATATTACGTTGCATATATTGTACGTTAGGCAATTAACGCCTACAAGCGAAAGCACACTTCAATCAACATATATTTATTGAAAGGGAATTGACTGTCTTTCAGAATCGATCGAGGTGCTTAATGAAGTAGTTTCAACGACGGAGAAACTAAGAAGTTGTTTTTTAAAATCTTGCCAGGTGTCTGAGGGTAAAAAACTGTGGACAGGGAAATATCTCCAAAAGGCAAGACTGGTCCGTCAAAAGTGGCAAGGAGTCTCGAATTCTGTTTACGTGACTCAGATGTCCAACGATATTCCTAAACAGACGACTTTCAAGCTTAATGTACAAATTGTCCCCTTTCCATCACAACTTGAAGAACAGCATGTTTTAAAATACATTAGATCTGATTAAGCTAGAACAACACCCGTCTAAATTTGATGTATTAAATTAAAGCGATGGTCATTTGGAGATCTATCAGACTTCACACAATGCATATTTTTCTAAATCTGCGAAGAGAAATACACACTTAAGCTCTCCAGCGATGTTCAAGACGTCGCACCGTACTAGTTTCACCGACAGAATTTTGGCACTTTCATCACAATTCGATAAAAAGTTTTGTTCATCATGACCACACTTTATCATCAAGATCAAATATTGCAGCAATTTAAATCTCTATCCAGCATTATGGATTCTTAATCAAAGTCTTAACTTTTCGATAAATCAAAATATCCCACAATTTCCTGCAGACTGTGCATTTCGTAACGCAACACCCGGCAGCGAATAACTACAGCAGTATAGAAGTACGCAAGTTCACTTAGTAACATTACCACTTGATACAGAAAAATACTACAAAGTAAGCCTATTAAATTCGATGTGATCTGCCGACAATATAGAAAGTTTCAAAGAGATTGTTCCACTCAGTTTTAATTAACGAACAGCAAAGTTCTGTTCTCATTTTACTTATCTTAATTGACTCGTAGTCTGGGGTGAACTGCTAAAATGGATGGTATCGATGCCGCCGGCAAAATGTGGATCTAGCGAATTATCATAGGATATAATCAGCTATAAGATAAATCTAAGCTAACTGCAGTCATGCGATGTATGCATTAAATACGATCATTGAGTATTTTTCGTTTGCTTTGCGTCCCATTCAGCAGCACCGTTCAGTGAATAATTTTCAGCGCTTCTCGACTGGCTGCACGGACGAACATTCCACAGATTTTGCTGAATAGAATTTTCATTTGCCGAATCAAGCCTTCTTTTTTATGGCGTTTGCATTTCTAAATGCTAAAATAAATAGGCGCCGTCTTCTTGCTCAAAATCGGCTAATAGACCATTTTCCTTTAGCATCTGCAGTCCAAAGATGCAAAACCGAATCAACCTGCATGGCCGAACGAAACCCTGCACAATGTGTAAATGAAGCAGTAAAAGAAAAATGTTGTCTTAACAAGTTTCCGAGAAGGATTTGGTTCGGTTCTGGCCAATGATGAGGTTTGCATCTTTGGACAACAGGTGGTGAAATATCATGATGCCGTGAGCTTCTCAAATAGTCCCTTAGCCCGGAAAAAGCAAGAGGACGGTGCCGTTACGCCGTATAAATCAAAGAGTGAAACAAATATTATACTACTGCATAACTCTCTCTTCATAAAACGAAATTTACAACTCTGATTTTATTGGGTTTACAAAGCATAGTACACCGTTAAAATGCGCCCAGCTAGAAGCATGCTTAGAGAACCGTTTAAGCAGGTCACTGTTCCATTCTCTTTCTACATCTACAGTACATTAATGCACAAGTGCAAAATCACATAAGGTTATGCTGATGACAAATAACCTTTAGAATGTTAGCGAAAATGTGAAACATGACTGAACATTTCAAAAAATAATTAAAATGCTTCTTCTTACGAGTATGTGTAAGTAACTAATACCATAAAGAGGAAACATTTTACGCCACAGCGAAAGTACAACCCTGTGCATCTAAAACGAAATTCACGCTGCCTATTCGTAGTACCATCGCCCCTCACCTATTGAATTTGAAATTGAATGAAAGGGGATGTCATGGCATGCGCCTCAACGCTGTCCAATTTAAAGCAAATCTGCTCTGATTATTGATAACTTTGGCATAAGTGGAAGTGGCATGGATCATTCGCGTTTAGACGCTTCGCCGACGGATCATGTCGAAGTGTGATGAAATCGTCTAGCAAGAAATGTGGAAGATTTATGATAGTCGATTGATATGTACGTCAAATCACTAAAGTCTTCACAAGTACGCACAGTTAAAAATATAACTTGTTTAATAGCAGTCTTTATAAGCTATCTATATTATTGGAGTTAAGTGTTACGTACGCATTGGCAAGCATCTTGGATAAGAAGCAGCAGAATGTATCACTTAGCCAATGCAAATATTGTCAAATGTAGCGAATGCTAATTTCTGGGTACGTTTCATTGGTGGATGTCAATGGCAGCTGCCACACTAATCGAATGCAGACGACCCTCGCAAGATTGGTTCTAAATTTACACCCGGTGCAGACATGTAACAGTGCTAAAAGACTAATACAAGAACATCATTTTACTGGGTTTCGGTGCATGAAGCAGAAAGATGAATTTCAGTTGGGATAATAACAATATCATCGTATGAAAAGATAAAGCATTCGCTATTAACTCAGTTAATTGCTGCTGATGCACCACTGAGGATCCTATGCCTAATATTAATTTTTTTGCATTAATTCATATTGTAAGTGATCGGCCTGAGAGTTTGCCACTGTTTACCCGACATAAACCCACCCGTCGCGCTTTTAAACCTTAGCCACGAATCAAGATTAGATTTCCGATTAAAGTCATCATCCAAACTAAGGAATAACTGCACCAAATTTTGTCTTTCATGCAAATGGTTTAACATGGTAAGGTGCAGAACAGTTATGGATCTTGTTCCGTATTATGCGTCGATCGGAGTGTCGCCGGCACTCATCGACAAATCTTAATTTATTTTATCTGTAGTCTGAATGTATACGTGGAAACTTATTTAGTTCGGTAAATTATTAATAAAATTTGAGTTCAGACAAGCACCTCTTTCAGCTTGCAACCACTTCAAAAGACGCGCAACATGTGAACATAATTGTTTACCGATGTGACAATGGCGATTATGTGAGACGTTTGTCAATACTGCTTGATGTGCGCGTTTCGATGCTAAAATTAAGCTTAATTGATCTGATAGATGGCTTTATGTCAACAGATAATGTAACCCGCAAATAAAAATAAAAGAACTAATTGCCTAGCAGCTGTTCAAACGAACTGCAATTTAACGAAGCTCGCTTAACCTGCAAGTCACTTTCCCTTGTGGTAGTTTTCAGGATGGCGTTCAGTTTCGTTGCTCTCGCCTATGTTTTCGCACTTATTATTACAGCAGTGCTAATATTTCTGACAATTTATCATGTAAGGTCTTGTCTAATTTGATTTTCAGAATGAGCTGCACAGTTATTTAGATAATTGCCTTTGACGAACTGAAAACAGATTATAAAAATCCGATCGATCAATGCAACAGTTTGAACCCGGTGAGAATGGGACAATACAGTTTTTTCGTCTTGTTCTGTTAACTAGTTGTTTTTTAAGCTCGTTCTGCCCGAATACGCCAGCCATTTGTTTTTTAATTTGTTTTTCCTTCTAACACAGCAATTTGGTTCGTTCTTGTGGAATTTACCGCTGATCGTCTATCACTGCTACAGGTCAGTTGCATCTTTGTAGTTTTTAAATGCAGTCCGAAACGGTATTAGTAGGCTGTTAATAATATATAAACATAAAAGTGGTCAATTGGCCTAGAAAATATTTGTTGGTGTATGTGGAATCCGAAACGGCGTTTCTTTTTCTGAACACACCATCATCCCTCTTGTCTTTGTTTTCCTGTGACTTTCCTGTTTTTTCTTCGTATTATTATTTTCTCGTACATCATTGCCTTTGCATTTTGATTTCTTCGCTTGTTCGTTTCACATGCCGAACTAACTAAGTCTGCTTTCAGTCATCTATTTAGTTTTGGGCTTATTCCTTTCTGTTGCTTCCATTAACACTTGTCTGTGCGCTTCATCTTCATCTTCCGTCGCCGCTTCTCCTTTCGGGTCGCGGAGGCAGACGCGTCAGACAGTGCTTCCAACGTCTGTGCGCTTCATTTTGTCCCTGCATAACGATTGCCAACGGAATATCTGAAATAGTCTGACTGCAGATGTTGTCAGCTACGTTCTCTCTTACGGTACTAATGGCTGACCAACGAGTCAGCTGTAAGAATGCCTCATTGGATTGAACTAATGTTCTGAAAGTACCATTGATTGGTTCGTCTGTTTACAGCGGGTGCCATGGCGCTGCGTTTTGCAAATCCTCAGGGTATTCATCATCTAAATATCAATCTTATCTAAGTCACCTCTTTATTCACATATTCCTGAGAAAGAAATTCTGTTTTGCAACATGTACTTTCACTTGTCATTACCTACCCTTCGGCAAACCTTGTATTCTGTGCCCGAATCTGCATCCTCCTCCCTCACCCATCCTAGCATTCTGTCATAATTATCAAAGATGGTCTGTCTTTCATTTGCCTGAGAGTCAGTGAAATGGACTCATGATAACGTTCTTTCTTTCCTTTACCTTCTCTGCTATTTTTCACAGACCCGTATGTACCGTCTCATTGCGTATGTTTGCGCTTAGTCTTCCTTCAGACTTGCGGCATGGCGACTGCGTTGTTCTAGCGAAGGAGCAACTGAGTTCACCTGCATTGCTTAGACGCATAATAATTGTTAGTTGGTAGGACCATGTAATGAACGATTTTATCCTGTTTTATCCTCCTTTGTAAAAATGGAGGTAGACTGTGTTGGACAGAT